GCTCTTCGGTCAATTGCATCGGCGCGCATAATCGCATTGTCGATAATCTGAGGCGGGTACTGTTGTACAGTTAGGGCATCACGAAGCTTATCACAGTTTTCAACAAAGTCTGAATTTTCAGAGCACAGTCTTTTGAAACGAAGTGCTTGACTGTAGGGTATACTCGTCTTACAATGTTTCACATGGCTGCTTTTGAAATGAAGGTATCGGTGAGCGTCGGTGGGTTTTCTGTATACTTTAGTAGATAATTTTTGGCCGCAAAGGGATACTGTTACATCCAGGAAACAGATGGATGCCTTCGAGTACGAATGTGACAATGAAATGGATGGATGAACTTTGTTAAAGTCTGCAATGAAAGTCATTAGTTCCGCTTCGCCGTGATGCCAGATAAAAAATATGTCGTCTATAAAACGTTTGTAGTAATATGGCTGTAGTCTGCGCGTTGAAAGAAAATGATTTTCCAATTGGCCCATAAATATATTCGCGTAATTTGGACCAATTTTGGTGCCCATTGAAGTGCCACTAACTTGTACGTAGTGAACACCGTCAAACTGAAAATTGTTAAACTCCAGGATGAGTTTTAATAATGTGGCTAATGTACAGCTATCAACAGATTTGTTACATGATGAGTCGTTATAAGCATCCACTACTGCACGAATGCCGTCTTTGTGGGGAATATTAGTGTAAAGTGACGCAACATCTAATGTTACCAGAAATGAGTCAGCAGGTATATTCAGGTTGATGATTTCAGCGAGGAAATGAGAAGTGTCCTTCAGATAGGATGGAAAAGTTGGAGGTAGTATACTAATCAGGCCATCGACATAGCTTGAAAGTAGTTCGGTGACAGTGCCAATGCCTGACACTATAGGACGACCGGGGTTATTGGGCTTATGTATTTTAGGCAATAGGTAAAACCTTCCTGGAACAGGGCTCAGTGGGACTAATGAGTACTTTGCTTTATCGGGGAAGTTTGTCATCTAGTATTAAATGCTTGATTGTATCAGTAACGATGTACCTACGCCTACGCCACAGTTGCTGCGAAAGCAAAGAACCAAGGACTCTCCACTTGTGAAAAGGTCTGGACACATTTCTTTGTCTCACCGGTACCCTTTAAGAAAATGCAATCGTGAGAAAAGCACTGTATCTTCAAAGAATTGACTAATACCGACCTCATGCGACAACCCTATTCAGAGTCGTGACTTTCTCAGAATTAGAAAAATTGTGGAAAAACGTGTAAAATACAAACTTCACGCATCTACGCTAAAAACCTATCTAAACGCCTTGACTGTACCGAAAGGACTTGTGATTTCGCTTAAACCAGCTACTTCCCAAATGTCACAACGCAACGTCGAGAAATGGAACGAAACGTTAAAGAATGCGTCCCTAGCTCTCATGCGCATCATCATCGACCATTATAATTCAGCTGTCAAAGCGTTGCTAAACAGTGAACGACAGTTGCGCAAGGCTCGTATGTTGGATCCCTCTGAATCGGCTTCGCTGGTTAAATACGAACAGAGAAAACAATTAGAAATTGAGCAGAAGAAAGCAAAAAAGTTTTTGCGTGACCACATTACCCTTCCGAAACCACTGACCAACGCAGATTTCCTTCCCGTCGAATCATCCTGTTCTAGACGAGACAAACTATCAGCTAGACCTAACGTAGTAAACGTTTCAAACGTGGTTTTATCTGACTCAGAAATGAGTGTGCTTGCTCGGGGCTTGAATTTCTGTCCAGCTACTGGCGGCTACAATGAATTTAACTTGGTGAAAGACTTAGATGAATTCGCGCGCAGTATGAGGCTAAGCGAATTCTTCCATAAACGTTCATCATCCAAGAGTAACATGTCTTCCCATCAACACTGGACGCCGCCTACACAACGCGATAAATTTCTCGATATGTACATTTCTGCAGTTCAGCGTGACATCCTGCAGGCTTATGGGAACCGCATTTCATTCAAAGGAAACCTCACATTCAAAGAACGGAATGCAGTTAAATGTTTACAAGAACGCACAGATATTGTAATAAAACCCGCTGATAAAGGAGGCGCAATCGTGATAATGAACACAACGGACTACGTTTGTGAAGCTCAGAGACAGCTAGATAATGACACGTTTTACAAGCGACTCAGTGAAAACCCCACCGAAGAATTTAAGGACATCGTTACTGATACAATCAAGCATTTAATACTAGATGACAAACTTCCCGATAAAGCAAAGTACTCATTAGTCCCACTGAGCCCTGTTCCAGGAAGGTTTTACCTATTGCCTAAAATACATAAGCCCAATAACCCCGGTCGTCCTATAGTGTCAGGCATTGGCACTGTCATCGAACTACTTTCAAGCTATGTCGATGGCCTGATTAGTATACTACCTCCAACTTTTCCATCCTATCTGAAGGACACTTCTCATTTCCTCGCTGACATCATCGACCTGAATATACCTGCTGACTCATTTCTGGTAACATTAGATGTTGCGTCACTTTACACTAATATTCCCCACAAAGACGGCATTCGTGCAGTAGTGGATGCTTATAACGACTCATCATGTGACAAATCTGTTGATAGCTGTACATTAGCCACATTATTAAAACTCATCCTGGAGTTTAACAATTTTCAGTTTGACGGTGTTCACTACGTACAAGTTAGTGGCACTTCAATGGGCACCAAAATTGGTCCAAATTACGCGAATATATTTATGGGCCAATTGGAAAATCATTTTCTTTCAACGCGCAGACTACAGCCATATTACTACAAACGTTTTATAGACGACATATTTTTTTATCTGGCATCACGGCGAAGCGGAACTAATGACTTTCATTGCAGACTTTAACAAAGTTCATTCATCCATTTCATTGTCACATTCGTACTCGAAGGCATCCATCTGTTTCCTCGATGTAACAGTATCCCTTTGCGGCCAAAAATTATCTACTAAAGTATACAGAAAACCCACCGACGCTCACCGATACCTTCATTTCAAAAGCAGCCATGTGAAACATTGTAAGACGAGTATACCCTACAGTCAAGCACTTCGTTTCAAAAGACTGTGCTCTGAAAATTCAGACTTTGTTGAAAACTGTGATAAGCTTCGTGATGCCCTAACTGTACAACAGTACCCGCCTCAGATTATCGACAATGCGATTATGCGCGCCGATGCAATTGACCGAAGAGCGCTTCTAAAATCAAATAAAGAACCTGCGCAACGGAAACACATCAATTTAATTCTGACACATTCTCCGTCAATTCCAATTGCTAACGCGATCCTCAAAAAGCACTACAACATACTAATGCAGAGCAATCGTCTCAAAGACGTCTTCCCGGAGCCTCCACGAGCAGTTTACCGCCGATCGAGAAACCTACGAGACATTCTTACGTCATCCAAACTATCAACGCCAGCCCCAGTGGGGTGTCACCCATGCAACAAGGCACGCTGCAAGGTGTGCCCCCACATGACCACGTCGCGTATTGTTAAGAGTTCTGCGTCGAACTTCACTCTCTGGATAAAAGGCAATTTCGACTGTGACACGAGCAATGCAATCTACTTGCTCCAATGCTCATTGTGTGACCTCCAATATATTGGTCAAACAGAGACAGCTTTCCGGTTGCGCTTTAATAATCACAGGTCACACGTCAGGTGCCTGCCTAGCCTTACCCTGTCCAAACACCTCGCTACCCCAGGCCACTCTTTCGACAACATAACTGCCACAATACTCGAATCTGGTTTCAAATCGCACTACGAAAGGGAAGTTCGTGAATCTTTTCTTATTCATAAATTTAACGCCATAGCGTCCTGAATAAATGAAAACCCAGGGAGGCTTACGTTTTTACCAGCAAATCAGATAAATCAACCGCCGTAGCCCACATACACGTTTGTCCACTGCCGTGATTACGTTGCGGTGTCATTGTTGACACATTAGTTAGTTGACCAGAATGCATGCACACTCTGTTACCACATTTGTGACATCAATGGTGATATTATGCTCATGTATATTTCACTGACAACGAACGTAACTTACCATGGCATTGCCTTTTTTTGTTCATTCACAAATGTTGCGATATCACAAGTGTCCATCATATTATTTGTATCTATGCTTTCAAGTCACCTTGCCCTACCATATTCTGTATAGCGCGCTGCTGCTCCGCTATCAACAAAATGCTGCGCATGTCTGAATATCTTTTTGTTAACATGTATGTCAATATTGCTAAGAGTGATGATTCACAATTGGGGGCCCCCATGCTATGTCTTTAAGAAGTGCGTGTTAGTGTAATATGCACGTATGCCCTGACGAAGGCCGGTCCCCGGCCGTAACGTTGGCAATAAAGCATCGTTTTTCGTTTGCTCGTTCGCTTCTTCTGGTGACTTATAACTCGACCGGAATCCAGGAAGACTTTCAAGAAATATATATATATATATATATATATATATATATATATATATATATAATATATATATATATATATATATATATATATATATATATTATATATATATATATATATATATATATTATATATATATATATATATATATATGCAGAACTTGTTCTCCTCATTTCCTACCGTTGCCCCATGTACTCTACAAGGCTATGAAATGCTCTGTTCGGGTGATTGAGAAGTCGAGTGGTTACGGCGCACGAATTCAGATAGTGTGTACACGGGTTCGAAGCTCGCCTCGTGAAGAAAACTTCTTTAAGCCAGGAATTTCTCTCACATTTTTTTCAAGTTTTGGAAACGGCAAATGTATGCGGGAATGCATCCCGTTTTATAACGCCGTATTTAGCGACGAAAAAAAATCAGTTCGTTAATTACTAAGGGGATTTCTCAAGAAAACATTTTGTGTCCACTGCTGCATTTGAAACACTCCCGCGTAGCTTTCCGCGCGCCCTCTTTCGGTTTTCGGAAGAGGCTGTCCACTACGGATTCCGGTTCCTATAAAGTTATATCACGCCACCAGAGGCGCCCGCGGCGACGGCGCCCGAGAAAGCGACTCGTGTCACCGAACGCGGCGTGCTGTCAGTGCGCGAGACGTTACCGCCGGGAAGGTTGCCGTGTCGGCGCAGACTGAGCCGCGCACGTTGGAGCACGCTTTCTTGAACGCTCGAAAATGGCTGAGGACGAAGGACGGGTGAAGCTGAAGAAGGAGATCGGCCTCTTCAGCGGCGTCATGATCGTGGTCGGCACTATAATCGGCTCCGGTATTTTCGTCTCTCCGAAGGGAGTGTTCGAGCACGCCGGCTCCGTGGGCGCCTCGCTTGTCATATGGGTCCTGTGCGGTCTCTTTTCCATGATTGGCGCCGTATGTTACGCCGAGTTGGGCACTTCCATTCCCCGATCCGGCGGCGACTACGCGTACGTGCTGGAGGCGTTCGGCCCGCTCACCGCCTTCCTGAGGCTCTGGGTGACAGTGCTGGTGGTGCAGCCGGCCACGCTCGCCGTACTCAGCCTGACATTCGCCACTTACATGGTGAAGCCCCTGTACCCGGACTGCGAACCACCGGACCTGGCTCTCAGGCTTATGGCCATCGTCTGTCTGTGTGAGTGTCGCCGTTTATCCGTTTAAAACCTGCTTCACGCGCGCGCACGCACGCCGCAGCCACGTTTGCTTGCCACGCGCTCGAGCATGCCGGTTTAGCGCGCGAAATTCGAACGGAGAAGCGTCACTCGGTTGAGGTACCAGCAGCACATGGAGTGCTGCTGGTACCGCAGGCGCGTGACATAAAGCTGCAGATAGTAGGACAGACTATCGGGCTAGTGAGTCTTGCATTATGAAAATGTTGATTTAGCTCAAATAAAAAGGGCACGAAAAGATAAGGTAGACAAGTTTTTAATAACGCCTAACATTATCTACCGCGTATTTTTGTGTATCTCTTATTTGCGCTAAATCAACGCTGTCACTCCGTCGTGGTGTCGCATATGAGGGGAGCACGCTACATTACAGTGGGAAGTGCTTGGCCATTGTGTCTTATTTCCTTTTTTTTCTCCCAATTTCGGCGGCGTTCGGGGCGCATCAATGTGCTCTGGTGTGAACAGCAGTGTAAGTATTTCTTATTTGACTGGGGCCCTTGAAACTGCTTCCACAGTAGTTCTGCAGAATCTGCCATATTCTTTGCGCTATGAAAGTCGACGGAGCACGACTTAACGCGGTTCCGTCGCACACATAGAATGGTCTCGTTCGAAAACAAGGCGGAGAAACGACGCCGTTCATCAATCAATTCCTTGGTTGACGTTGTCAAGATTTCTTATGCCTTCATATTTGCGTATATATGACACGTTTCTTCAATTAAACTTTCCGTTGTCAAACAGCGCTTGTGTCACGCACTTTCTGGTGTTTTTTGTGCGCTGATCGTGACTAGAATCGAATCCTTAGTCTGCCATGTCGTGGCGTGTAAATATTTACATCAAGGATGTGGCTGGGAGAAGGCAGGAAACTAATGTTATGGCTCCGCTTTCAAACATTTAAAAAAAAATGAAGGCGAGTGAAATTATTTCGCATGACCTGCTACAGCTACGACGCTACTGAAAGTGCGTGCTGTCGTAGACAGAGACCTTCACGTTCAACTTTTTCACTTGTACATGCGAAACGTCACCACTATGGCGTCGCACTGTCTATCACGCGCCGCCTACCTGTATATAGAATAATTTCCTTTTATAGTTGAGGACCTAGTGATTTTCCTATAAACACACCTGAGGGAACTCTGGCGCTACTGTCTACGGAAGCTTCAATGCATGCACGGCCAGCATGCGAAGGATGGGTTCTACACGGATTCGTTTAAGCTTCGTTCTTTCAGCAGTTTCAATTCACCACATTAACCTTTTTTTGGGGCTACCCGATTCAAATCGGCTCAAGAAGTTCACAACAGTCGATTATTTTAATCGAATAGAACCAAAACCAACAATCAATGAAGCTAGATGTGCGTTCTAAGCCCGCAAGCACGAAGACTATATAGGCAAATCCGCGTACTACCCATCGTTCTCATGGTGGCTGAACTATTGTAGCGCCAGAGTTACTTCCGGTTAATGTTGTAGGAAACTTTATGATTGAGGAGAGATATGTGGAGTCTATACATATCAGTACGTAAGAGTGTTGACAAATAACAATAGTAAAAATGCGCTGTTGTTCATGCATTCTGTTGCTATAGCTCTAGGATGCTGCCGTGCTAAATTCGTGACCAAGTCGAGTATATTTTAATGGAGGTGAATTGCAGAAATGCATTTTACCTCACTTTAAGTGCACGTTATAGAAAACCACAGACAGTGAAAACTATTCCACACTTACACACTACGTTGTGCCTCAAGGATGTTTGGTGTTCTTAAATTTATTAATTAAATTGAAGTACGTAAATTAATGGAAGAGTGGAGTTCTTTGCACGCGTTTACGGCAGTTTATGAAACCTTCCTGCTGCGTCAAAGCAGTGTTTTGGTCCTCAACAAAACAGTGCTGTAACGCAGGACACGGGGCAAATATATGCGAAGTCATGGCAAAAGCGTTGCATGTAGTTTTTAATCAAAAACTAAATAATTAGCCGACATCATTTCTGTGTACTTTGCTGAATTTCGAGTAGAATGAATGGCGTTCAAAATTACGTTGTTGTTGTTGATGATGATGTTGTTGGTGAAATTAATTCATACTTTTTTCTACCGATTTTTGCTCTCACCGCATGTGAAGACATTAATCGTAGACCAATATTATTGTCTCTTGTTTCGTTCCGACACATCGGGGTCGCGTTTAAAATCTTACCGAGTGTTGCAGCAACGATTCCAATCAATTCATGCCCACTTTGCAAACACATACGAAATAGGAATGGTAGAAATGGGAGTTCGAAGAAATTAGTGTCTTACCATTTCGTATATAGGTAACAGACTGCACGTAATCGGCGGCGCACAAAAAGATTGCGAATGTCCTGCTTTGTGGACGGTGCCAAAGGCTGATTTGTTGCTATAGCACGTGGTGAATAAATTGTCTCAATGTATAGTCAAGTTCGGCTATCGCAATATTGTACCAAACTGTGACGGTTATCGTCTCTTCTTTCCTCACAAGTCTCTCAAGCTTCTTGAGAATAAATCTGTCACCGCTGTGGCACATTTAAGGATTTTAGGTTTTCTCATCGCCCAGCCAAAGTGGTGTTTCCATACCTTGAAAAGCGTGGTAGCAGAACTTCTGGTCGCCGTGACGTGCGAGAGTCACGGGGCCTTTACATAAACGTCACGCGTGACGTCATGCCACCGCCTAAATTTCAATGAGCGGTAAAGGGCGCTGCCTGCAAGCGTCACTATTTCGCCACTGCCAGCGGTTGACGAGTGTCGCTGGAGGGGCCGAGTAACGTTCCCAGTGCCGCTTCGCGGCGCTGTCTTGCAAGCATCACTGCTGCAGTTAACAGCGAGCTGCCGCTCTATTAGTGTCGTCATACGCGACACTTCCGATGACGTCACAAGGCTTTCGCACGTGACGTCGACCGGAAGCTCCGCTTCTGTGCTTTTTGAGGTACGGAAGCGCGCATTGACACATCGTATATGAGACGTGTTCTTTTTTTTTTCAATGGGAAATCTCGCATGTTTCTGTGACTGTACGGCATTATATACGGAGATTTCTAAGAAAACACGAGACGTGGCTTCCGAGTCGTGGTCCCAATCATGAGAATGCGTATAACGGCGATTTTCGATGGTGTATACACTCTTATACATGCAGGGCGCCGAGTCGCGCAGCCTCTTTTATTCTGTAAGGAGACGCCGCAGCTGGTGGGCTTATCACTCGTTCTGCCGTGCGTTAAGGCCACGGCTGGTGGCCACGTTGGCCGCGTCATTTTTGTTCACATTGTTTTGAAACGGGAGCACGCGCTTTGCAGCTGGCAGAATGCTGGAAGGGGACGCGCGACGCCGTGTCCTTTGTCGCTTCATGTGGTGAGAATAAAGGGACGATAAAGAGCGCGTAGCTGATTCTTGATCCCTCAAGCATTATTCCTTCACGAGAGCGAAGTCTAGGGGTTTGGTGAAAAATTATCCGGCGAGGAAAGATTATGTATGGTTGAAGGAAACGTACACTTGCTTACTAAAAAGGAACACAAAAACAACAGAATCGACGTTTGGGCGCCCAATACGCGTGCCTTATTCGCAATAAATGAGTGCATGGCGGTCCTTATGATATATGTGTTGAACGACGCAACGCGCTTCCGTGTACCGAGATCGTTTCACGGGAGTGCTCTTCGTATTGCGTGGCAAGACTGCGGACCTGAAAACGGGTCCTATGTTTGTAGTCTTCAACATATAGAAAATAATCGCAATGTGTGCATACGCGGTCAATCTTTTTTTTTTCTTTCAGAACTCAATGTTAAAGAATTCACCGAAAAAATTAACAACGACAAAAAAACTTTTCATTATTGATTATTGCTGGAATAAGCATGGAGGCTACACTTCGCTATTTAGAATGTCCTGTCGAAATTTCAGCAACTGTATACGTTACCGTGCTGTCATGTGTTTCAGCGTATTGTCTTCAGCATACGGAGTGCTCTGGCGTATAGGTTGTCTGTGCTTGCAAAAAAATAATGTCACGGCATTTTTATTTAGAATCGTATGCCCCTTCCCTCTCCCCACAAATATGCAAGTGATTATATGTGCGTGAAAACATGCCATGCCACGACAAGCCAGCGAGGGAACCGAAAAGTTACGTAGTCAGTGCTCCCTCTTTTGTTCTGCGCATTTCTTTGTGGACTACAAGGCCGCGCCTCACTGCAAACGCCCATTCCCATCTATATATACGACAGCACCAGTTGCGCGACTATTTGCGACTGGTGGCCATGCTGCGACTCAAGGCAGCCGATATTCACATCGCGACCTATACCAGTGCGACCACACCCGTTGCCGCAACGAATTCGCGTCTGCTCGCAAAACAAGCTGATGTTGAGCTCCCCGGTTTCTTGAGTCGTAATCGGGCTTTGGTTTCTGTTTCTCAAAACTTTTCTTTGACAAAGTATTAGTTAGGTCAAAAGTCGAGTTCGCCTTTTCAATCTGGGATTTTCCCACTTGTACTCTTACAGACGCTCTAGATGCCATAGAAAATCGTTCAGCCTGTTTCATTGTAGCTAATTATTATCGTAAAGCCGGCATCACTGCAGTAAAACCTTTTACAGACCTCCCTAACTTTCCTATAACAAAATGAAGCAGGCCCGCGTATGCCTCTTTCATAAAATATTCTTTGCGGATTCTGAACTAGAACGCGCATCGTTCTCGCCATTTTCTTATTTTTCATTTTTTCTTAAACCGAACATGCCTATTAAGATTCAGAACTTAAGACCTATATATAAACTGCATGAGCATGCATGGTGCACATACGCTTGGTCGATTATTTAGAGTAACGGACATCCCCGAAAAAACGACGTTCGGCTTCAGAGCTCACCTGTCAACGCAAGAAATCTTACTGCAGATCAAAGAAAAAGTCATAGACAAACTGGCCGCGCACACCCAGAGAGCCATCTTCGCACTAGACGTGAAAGGGGCTTTTGCCAACGTGTCGCACGAAGCCATACTGCAGCACCTTAAT